GGGGGAGGGGGGGGGGAAGGAGAAGGAGGCAGAGAAAAAAAGGGGTCGACGTCGGGGGGAGAAGAGGAAAAGAAAAAAGAAAAATAAAAGGAGAGCGCGAGCGAGAAAATGCGAGAGAGAGAGAGAGAGAGAGAGAGAGAATGAGAAGGGGTGAGGAGAACCTGAGCTGGGCGGTGGGCCACACGCCCAGCTGCAAGCGAGCCTAGGCGCCGCCCAGTCAGTCAGGGTCCGAGCTGCCGGCCTCATTCCCCCCACCACCCCATAAATCCCCTTCCTCCTGGTGTTGCCCTTTCTACCCAACCCCCACCCCACTCCGCTCTCCTCCTCGGGCCGGCACTGACTGACCTGTGGTGAGGTGGGGGGTCACCTCCCGGAAGGGAGACGGCTCCATTTTCAGGTATTTCTGGGGGGAAGCGGCTGAGTTGAGCGGGGTGCAGCGCCTCCTCTTCGGGGACTGTGACGTGGGACTGAGGAGGGGATCGAAATCGATAGTCCTTTTGAGAGTGGCTCCGCAGGCCATGGCGACTGTGTCGGCCGGAGGAGGACGAGGACGACGACAGGCAGGAACGAAGGACGAACGGCCGCAGAGAGTCGGCGGTTTCTTTTCAAGGAGGAGGTGGTGAAAAAGCCGGTTTATCGATTCCCTGATGAAAACAGAACCCCCTCGGCCGGAAAATGATTGATGTCTCTCCTTCCCCCACCACCAACAAACAATTCTCTCCTTTTTGCTCCAATATCCACCCGGGCTGATAGCACCACTCGCCACGGCAATGGTACAGCAACGACCAAGTCGATATCGACCAGCAGCGGAGCGGATGGCAATGGATGATCTCTCTTCCCTCCCCCCGCTTCCTGCTGCTGCACCCACTAGCCCCTTGTACCGTGATGGCGTCCCCGGCCACAATAAACAACGCCAGCCTCTACGCGTCACTGCGCAGACGTCACCCGGCCCGTGCTGCCTGCCGGGAGTTGTAGTCCACACCTCCACTCCTCAGCACGCTGCGGACGGGGAACGATACTACAAACCCCGGCGTGAACAGCGGGGTGAGAGCCTCCCAGCTGTTGCATTTAAATCCCCCATTGGTACATTCAAGCAGTAACAGGATGCTGTGATCAATGAGAGCAACTCGCAGCCCCAATTGGTGTAACCCACTAGGAAATCCCACAAGTTTCTTTTAATAAAAGAGGAAATGAGCTTTCATATTTCTGTTTTTCAATATATGCTTCACAAATAGTTGTATTTCTTCCTTGTTCCCCTCTCTGGTTTAAATTGAATTACAAATTAACTTTTCTTTAAACAAATTAACAAGGTATGGTTTCTCCCTTTTCAAAGTGATAACTGATAACCTCGGCATTTTATGAAGGGACGGCGGAAGGAGCAAACGCTTTTCGGCACCTGATAATTGAAAAATATGAATTTTTATTATGGAAATAAGGTTTTTTTTTTCCTTTTTGATTTGATCTGGAAGTACTATGAGAGTCAAATGAGAGATTACAGGTCGCTGTGGTGGGTTTTGCGAACTATCAAAACATGAAGAGCCACTTATTTTACAGAGAAGATGGAGTGTTTAATTTCGCTTTATAGCTACATTTGAAGTGTTGATCAACTTTGAACTTTTGATAAATGATTTGCATTTTTGTAGCGACTTTGACATAAATAACCAGCTCATGCGTTACATAGGCATGAGCAAAAGAAACGATGGCACGCTCAGATATCTGGAAGGGCGAGGCGCAGGAGGACTAGGGGCAGGGGAGAGCACACCCAATAGTATAAGGGTTAAAAAAAAACTAAAGAGCTGCAAATGCTGGAAATCAGAAACTTTACAGAAATTGGCAGCGTTGGTGGAGAAAAATCAGAGTTAACTTTTGAGTCCAGTAATCCATCTTCAGAAGGGTTAGCGTATAACATGCAAAAGAGACGATATGCGGAATGCCAGATGTGGTTTTACAGTGTCACATGACATGATCTTGCTGACTTACAGCCTCATGGCAAGATACAGTGTTTGTAAGATTGGTAGTAATCCAGAGGCCTAAGATATTGTTCAGCAGATCTGGCAGCATCTGTGAAGGAAAAAAACGTTTCGGATCCGGTGACCCTTCCTCAGAATGGACCCGAAACGTTAACTCTGTTTTTGCCTTCACAGATGCTGCCAGACCTGCTAAGCTTTTCCAGCAACTTTGTTTTTATTCCTGATTTATAGCATCCGCAGTTCTTTTGGTTTTTATTTGCCTAAGATATTGCTCTAGAATTCTGGGTCCAAATCACACCATGGCAGCTTGTTGAATTCTGTTAATAAAATTTGGATTTGAAAGATGGCTTCAAGGATTGTGTCAATGAAATTAACATAAACAACCTAGTTCAGTAATGTCGTTTAGGGAAGGAAATCTGCTGATCTACCTGATCTGCCTTACATGGGATTCCAGACCAACAGCAATGTGGTAGACTCTTAACAGCACTTACAAGTCATTCAGTTCAAAGGCAATTGGGAAATGGTAAAAACATGCCAGCCATCAAACTACTAGGTGATCTTATCATTGAGATCATAGTACCTCAGCATTGGCATTGTTGTTCAATTCTAGTGAAAGCTGCTTCTTGTGCTGTGCCACAATACCACTTCAGGTCCATAGCAGTGAGCTTGAGTATACTCTGATGACAAGTTAGAACCATAGAAACCCTACAGTGTGGAAACAGGCCATTCAGCCCAGCAGGTCCACACTGACCAAGCCTCCAAAGAGCATCCCCCCCAGATCCATCTCCATACCATTTCCCTGTAACCCTGTATTTCCCAAGGCTAATCCACCTAGCCTGCACATCCCTGAACACTGTGGGCAATTTAGCATGACCACTCCACCTAACCTGCACATCTGTGGACTGTGGGAAGAAACTGGAGCCCCGGAGGAAACCCACGCAGACACGGGCAGGATGTGCAAACTCAACACAGACTGTTGCCCGAGGGTGGAATCAAACCCAGGCCCTTGGCGCTGTGAGGCAACAGTGCCAACCACTGAGCCACTGTACCATGGCTCAATTAGGTAAGAATATTGCTAAATAATCTATGAATCCATCAAGTCATTGCACTGCTTTCACAAGTGTAGGTCTATGACAGCTGTTCCTTAATGTGATAGTGCAACAGAACTTGGCCAGTGTATTTGACTTTGGACATCTTCAATTACATCTTTTATTTATTTAATTTCTGGTTCATCAGGCGAGCTCTTGCTACAAATTGCGCTAGATTCTGAATGTAATCTACAATGGCTTTTTCCATTATCTCCATTTCCATAGACTAGCATGGATCTAATCACATCCTACGAAAAGTAATAAAGAGTCTAAAGGCAAGTGACAATATTCTCTTGCACAGATAGTAAAAGGCACAAATGCCAATATTGGAGGCAAGTGCAAATATATCAAAAAAGTGCTGGCTGGGAGACAGATCTAACACTGGAGGAGGTCAGAAAGACAATGGCATCCATCCATCATGGGAAATGAAAATCTGCATCCATTTGTATGTCACTTCTGGTTTGAACATCTATTGTGGCTGTAGTCGCTGATCTGGTGAGTACCAATACCTTCTGCAACTGGCACAGATGTGAGAAAAACTCACTGACTCCAACTGTCCTTAGACCCAGCCTGAAAGGGTTGCACATGCCATTTGGCCATTCCAATACTTCAGAAGAGTATCAGCATGTACAGCTTGAAATAGTGACCTTTTCAGAGTGAAGCTGTTGTGGATGGCCTGCAGTCTATTGTTGTGGACAAACAATGGAAGGAGCCACTGCAGAGAACAATCAGAATCTATTGCAACTAATAGAGAGAGCTTGCCAAATGAACTGGAAATTAATACAAACATATATTGAAGATGTCCAGAATCAAATATTTAGGCCAAATTCTCATAGCACAAGAATTCATCAACATTAAGTAACAGCTGTAGCAGAGGTGTAGCGACCAACAGTTGTGAAAGCAATGCAATAATTTGATGAATTCACTGGTTATTTAGCTAAGGTCTTACCTAATTTGTCATCAGAATGTACACAAGTTCAATGCTAAGGACATGCAGTCGGATTGAGGCACAAAACAAGAAGCAGCTTTGACTGAAATCAAACAACAATGCCGGTGCTGAGTTCTATGATGCCAATGATGAGGTCACCTTGCAGTATGATGGCAGCGATGCTGGACTTGGAGCAACACTTTTGCAACAAGGAATACCCTGTTCTCTTTGCATCAACGATATTAACACAAACTCAACAACGCAACACTCAGATAAAGAAAGAATGACTAGCTGTTGTCTTTGTATGAGGGAATTTTAATTAATACCTGTTTGAGAGAGACAAAATAACAGTGGAATCTAACTACAAACCACTTCAAAACATCTTTCTCAAACCAAGTTTATCTGATCCAAAGCATCTGCAAAGAATGTTACTTCCTTTATTGAGATGTATTAGAAGACAGACTGTAAGGATTAGGGAGGCTTTTTCAAGGTGGCAACCTGCAACTAATGGCACAGGAATCAGTGCTTGGACCACAATTATATACGGTTTAAATTAATGGCTTGGATGAAGGTACTATAGCCAACTTCGCAGATGGCATAAAAATAAGTGGAAGGTAAGTGGTGAAGATGACACAAAGAGTGCAGAGGGATATAGTCAGGTTAAGCGAATTGGCAAAACCTTGACAGATAATGTGGAAAAGTGAGATTATGCATTTTGCGGGGAAGAATGGAGAAGGTAAATGTTCTTTAAATGAAGAAAACTGCAGGAAGCTATAACATTTGGGAGTCCTCTTGCACAAATCACAAAAAGCTGGCATATAAGTTCAACAGATAATGGAGAAGGAAAATGGAGTGTTGGCCTTTATTTCAAAGAGAATGGAATCTAAAAATAGGAAAGTTTTGTTCCACAGCAGACATACTGTAAACTGTTTTGGTCCCCTTATCTAAGGAAAGATATACTAAACACTACATTCTGAGTGAACAGCCAGCAGGTGTGGTACATGTCGATTATCAATGGCATGGGTAAAAGAAGAAATGAAGTCAGCAGTAGGAGTTTAGAGAGGTGGTAGATTAAGAAAGAGGACTACTAAGGTTGTAATGTTCGGATTACTTCCAGGTCATGTGCTACTGAGTACAGGAGTAGGGAGGTAGGTCAGATTAACGCGTGGCTAAAGGGACCATGGGAAGGAGAGCCCTAGATTTTTAGATCATTGGGGCAGTTTCCGGGGTAATTGGGAACTATACAAGCTGAAATGGTTGCACCTGACCGGGAATGCTGGGAGTTTGTTCATGCTATTGGGAAGGTTTAAAATTGAATTAATAGGGGGATATGGCACAGAGCAGATGTAAAGTTGGGAGCAAGGCTGAATCAGATGTCGAAGGAATGCCAGGACATTGAAGTAGATGGAGAAGACATGGGCATGATAGGACACATGGGAGGACTGGAAAGCTAAATTTCATCTATTTTAATGTAAGGACAGTAAGGCAGATAAACTTAGAGCATTGATCAGCACGTGGCAACATGACATTGTTGCAATTGCTGAAACATGGTTGAAAGAAGGACAGGACTGGCAGAGCAACCTTCCAGGGTATAGAAGTTCAGGTGAGATGGGGGCTTGGAAGTAAGAGAGCCGGGGGCATTGCTTTATAAATAAAGGAAACCATCACTGCAGATGTAGAAGGGTTTTCAAATGAGGCCATCTGAGTAAAGCTTAGAAATAAAAAAGGTGATTACCTTGCTGGGATTACACTACAGGCCTTCCAACAGACAGTGGGAGATAGAGGACCAGACATGAGGGCAAATCACGAAAAGGTGTGACAGAGTTATAGTTGTAGGAACTTCAACTTTCCTAACATTAACTGGGATTGCCTTAGTATGAAAGGATCAGACAGGGTGGAATTTTTAAAGTGTAGCCAGGAGAACCTTTTGTGCCAATACATTTACAATCGGACTAAAGGTAAGCAGTGCTAGGCCTACTCCTAGGAAATGAAGCTGGTCAAGTGGTTCAAGTTTCAGTGACGAGCATTTTGGGGATAGTGTCATAACTCTGTAAGTTTCAAAGTCATTATGGCAAAGGATAAGGATAATGCAGAAGTTAAGTGTCTGAACTGGAAGAAGGTTGATTTCAAAATCATTAGACAGGATCTGGCAAACGTAGACTGGGAGCAGCTGCTTGAAGGGAAGACTACATTTGTCAAGTGGGAGTCT